AGGTGGGAGGACTGCTTGAGCCCAGTTCAAGACCAGCCTGAGCAACAGAGCCAGACCTCGTCTCTTAAAAAAACAGAAAGAAAACTATATGGTCCAGCTACCTCAGACTGGGGCAGGCAAGTTTCAGAAGACTTTTGAAGATATGATACTGTGATAATAAAAAAGAAAATATTTGGTCTTTGTCCCTAGTTAGCACATAATTCCTAAAACCCTTGTAATCTCCAAGATGGTAAGTGTCTTTTGCATGCTTTGTTTTTTGTGTTTTTTTTGAGTTGGAGTCTCACTCTGTCGCCCAGACTGGAGAGCATTGGCCGCTCCCGGCCACCGCAGCCTCGAACTGCGGGGCTCCGGCAATCCTTCCGCCTCAGCCTTCCAAGTAGTCGGAACTACAGGCGTGCACTACCACGCCCGGCTGATTTTTTGATTTATTGTAGAGATGAGGTTTCGCCTGCCCAGGTGGGTCTCGAACCCACCGGCTCAGGCAATCCACTCACCTCAGCCTCCCAAAGGCACGGGATTACAGGCTGAGCCACCAAGCCGGCTGTCTTTTGCATGCTAATGAGATGACTGGTGGTTGGGGTCCCAAGATCACTTCAGAATGGGTGCTAGCTGCCAGAGACCAAGGCGTGACTAGAGAGTTGAGATTTACAGCCTCAGTCCCCAGGGCCTAGGGGGATGGTGGGGAGGCTGAAGATTGAGTTGCTGCCAATGGCCAGTAACTCACATAATCAGGCCTACCTAATGAAACCTGCATAAAACCCCCAAACCATGTGGTTTGTGGTTTCCAGGCTGGTGAAACAGTGAGGTGCTGGGAAGGTGGCAACCAGAGGACATGAACGCTCCATCCACCTCCCCGTTCCTATCTCACACTGTGCCCTATGTACCTCCTCGTCTGGCTGTTCGTTTATATTCTTTGTAATAAACCAGTAATAAGAAGCACTTTCCAGCACATTATCGAATCCAAGGAGAGGGTTGTAGAACCTGACTTATAGCTGGTCAGGAGTACAAATGAAAACCTGAGACTTAGGATTGGTGTCTGAAATGTGGGTAACCTGTGGAGTCTGGCCTGCTCCACATAGTGTCACAACTGAATCACAGGACCCCAGTTCGTGTCCAGAGCTCAAAAATTGGTTGGTGTGGGGAAAAAAATCCCCGCACATTCTGTCAGAAGTGTTGAGTAAAAACATTCCTGCATGTTTTTGGACACCTTCTGGGCCCAACTTCACGTCCACTCAACTTGCTTTTCACTTGTCAACGTAGTCACCAGCAGCACTTGCTCCACGGCTGTTCTGATGTGTACAAACCTGGAATTTCAAGGGAGTTTCAACTCCACGGAACAGCTCTTGAATAAAGGCTCCCTCCTTCAGCTCCGGGAGCAGCCCACTGTCATTTGGGGATTGAGCCCCACTTGTCCATAACAGTGACCAAGTTCAATAATGTGATTTCTTCCTGTTTCTGTCTACCTGTTCCTCACTTCTGCTCTCTGGAATCATTTCCTATTATAAATCACCTGTACACAGGCCCTTACCTCAGGTGCAGCTGCTCTTGGGGACCCAGGCTGAGAGAGACAGACAGGATAGGGAGAAGTTCCCCTGAACCAAGATCTGGTTGTGAAGATACCTGGGTAAAAAGACATTTTTTTTCTTTTACAAGTGCCACCTTTATTTACCTCTTTTGCCTTAAAAAAATTTTTTTTTTTTTTGTTTATTCCACAATAGCCTGGAAAGCAAGCAGGGCAGGATGAGTATTCCAATCTTAAGGGTCCTGAAACTGAAGCACAGAGGAAATCAGAGCCCTCTGCACCTCTATTCTGGTTCTTAAATAGGATAAATAAGTCAATTATTGAGACAAGGAAAAAAAATCATTTTGTGCAGAGAATTTTGTTTGTGGATCACAGTTCTAGTTTTTAACTTTGAAATTCTACTTTCTAGAAAAATCCCAACGTGCATTTATGCAACCAAGGATGACAAAAAACAAACGCAAGTATTGCCACCTAGAGATGATGATTTATTGTTTTACCATGACCCAGAAAAGAAACAACATAAAGAGAATATTACAAATCCCCACAATTTCCTTCCCCAACCTCACTACTTTAACATTTGTCAGACACCAAGGCCTCCTAAAATGGACTATTGACTATAAATGCATATACATTTTTCTGTTGCCATTTCTCTTGTGATTAAAACTTTAGACTTCAATCAAGGTTTCAAATAATTATTGTTAGTGGAGGAGTTTCTTTTTAGAAAAACTATTTTTCCTCTATGATTCCATTACTTATCAAAACAAGCCTTTCTAGAAGTGTTCATGAGGATTTGAAACGAACAAATTAGACTTAAAAATCATTTACTGACCATCTACCAAGCACCTGGACTCTTCAGAGCCTAGTAAAGTGAAAAATCCAGTTTTTAACAGCAATAACTTAATTTCACGGATATACAAAGACAAGCACGTTTTTTCTTTTGGTCTAACTTATTCTAAACAAAGAAGCTGGGAACTGACAAAACAGGTCGCTTTATCCAGTCTACAAATAAACAAGACAATGCCTGAGTTAGCTCTCTCTATAGATTTAGGCTTATGTTGACCTGGTTGTAATAATCTATATTTAACTAAAAGTTAATAAAAATACATATGCTAATTTTAAAATAATTACTGATTTCGCTTGCATAACCCACCCCTTACCCCCAAACTCATATATCTTTAGGACAGGATTTTCCTCCATATTCACAATTTGCTTCCTCCCACCCACCCCCTCATATATGTTTTCAAAGAAGAACCCCTGCTATCAGCAGAAGCATCTCTAAGTCTAACATGCTTTGTTCCTGCTAGGGCAGACTAAACACTTCAAAAAGCAGCTGGATGCTGTTCCCTGGTTGAGGTGAGAAGGCAAGAGAGCACTAACCCCAACACACTCCCAATGGTCTCTCCTCCCTCCCTCCTCTGGCCTGCTAAGTAGAAATCTCTTTCTCCTTTTCCTTCTTAATGCACCTGACCTTTTCGGGAGACTAGATGATAGCGATTCAGGGCAACTGCAGCTGCCTTCCCTGGACCAAAGGAACATAAAGTCCAAACCCCAAACTGGAATGAAAGCCAAGTTTTAATACCACCTTTCAATCACTCACAGATCTCATTCTTTACATCTTAAAACACTCAGGCTCACCGCTTAATGAGTGTTTGCTGAAGGGAGAAAATTAAAATTTGAAAACCAATTAACTTTGATGATTACTGTTAATTTGAAGTGAGTCATGATTCTTAAGTAAATGGAGGTGAGAATCTCAAAGATTACAATCACAGCAGAGCAAGGTTTAGAAGTCTACCCAATGCCCACTGTTTCTCTTCTACTTGTTTTAGGGTACAGAAAAATGAGATTGGTGGTGTCCACTATTAAACAGAACCAGTTAAAATGAAAGTTCTCATATTAAAACGTTCTGTACTATGGGACGTCAAATATTTTTTGTTTGATCTGCAAAATTGGAGATGGCTTACCTCCCTATAACTTCAAGTTTGCTTCACAAAGCTTTGAAAAGTAAAACAGATAATTTCATTTTCAGATATAATAAAAAAATTAATCTGACTAGCAAAATAACTGTTTTTAAATGTACAGTAGTGTGTCCATTCTAAAAACGAAACCTAAATCTATGTTAGGTTTTCAAATAATGCTTTTTATTAAATTCTCCAGTAGTAGTTGAAATAAAAATCTACTCTAACTTCTATGAAATGATCTATTTATACCATTTCATTTTCTTTTCTCTGATTCTATATTTCACTTAGCAATCTGCAGACCTTCATTTAATTTCCCAGATGGGAAACCTCAGCCTCTTCGTAAGTATTTCTGAGAAGGTGCTCAGTGGGACCCACAAAAATACGGCCCCTCTGACAAGTATTGCCGTCACTGTTTGACTACACTTCAATACTGCTACTCCAATTCATAACAGTCTTCTACGAGGACGGTGGGATGAACCTGGCTAGCTGACTTTGGATAATTAGATCAGCATGACTACCTGGAATAAAGGTGACTGACAAACTCTAGAATAAAAAATTTTTTAAAATTTCTTTTGCAGCTATGAGTCTTCAAACCCTTTCTCCTAATAACCATAAACCAGGGGAAGAAAGCGGGAGCACAGCCAAAGGGAATACTGCAAAATGCTTCTTAAGCCTTATCAGATAAGCTTTCTGAAATGCCACAACTGGATGCATCCATGCCCATTTCCCCCAGAAAGAACACTTTAGCATTTTCCTATCCCAGATTTTCTAAGCATAAAGATTTAAGAGTTAGTGAGGAAGCATGACTATGGTCAGCTAAAGTGGTCCCACAGACCATTCCCATACACTTCCTACACTCAATTCATGGAGAAGACGCTCTTCCCCCACTGACAAGAGAATCCATTCCCTTTGCTTGCAACAGTGACCTGACCGTCAGAGCTCAACTTCCCGGTTCTGAAGAAAAACTGAAGAGGATTCCTGTGTTTACAGGAAGTGCCCCATTAACTTATCTCTCCTCACACATTTGCAATCTCTTCTCTTGATTTGATAAGCACCAAACTATGAAGTCCCCTCCCCCCAGTTCTGTGAACTTTATTATCTATAACCATATCCATTTCTTCACTACTTGCTCCAAAATTTTGCTCTTTTGGAGTGATGTGTTCTGTCAAATAGATTAAAAGACATCATCTGCTTACAGGTAATATACAGAACAGTAACGGGCTGGAGGTACAAAACAGACACTGACACTATGGTCATACAAAATATACAGAAGTAGCCAACATTAACAATTTTTGTAAAAAGTTGCACATTTTGCTATTTCTTTATCATCTCCCCACATTTTCTTCTTCTGTAGATCCTCTGGAGTTAAGATTGAGCTCCCTCTGCAGTGTTTCTCAAATTCATTACATGACTGGAACATACTGACAGAATTCTCTGTCCAAAGCTATACGTGAAAGTTTTCCTCACATATAATATTAGCAAAGTTTATTTACAGTGTAAGATTTCTGATGCTAAGGGCTGAGATGTGATTAAAGGCTTTGCCATATTTATCACATTCAGGAGGTTCCTTTCTGAAATAAATTCTCTGATGTATGTAAGATGTTGAACCGCCACATATATCAAACATGTCACTCTCTCTACACATATTTAGCACAGTTTCACTTTTAGCCTTTAATATTGAGTGCCAACATGTCTCATACATCTATAGTCTCAGTTTTTAGCCTTGCCTGCTAGGCTGGAGTGGAAATAAATACCCCACAACTTGAAGAATTTTACCTCTCTTCCTGGCAAGGGAAAGGTATTTTTTAAAGACTCTTCAAAAACTTCCATTAGGCCAAATAGCTTGCTGATGGAGCACTGACATTGTTAACAGACTTCCCTCAGTCCAGAACTTTTGAACGACTATCCTGAGCGCTAACCAGATGTTGCAAGCATTTTTGACCATGACCCAACTACCCTTTCTACTTCACATCTGATATATAAATGTAATGCAAATGGTTTCAATAAACAGTTGTAGCCTGTTGTCCTTAGAAAAACACATCTTCAAATAGCTGCTTCAAGGAGTGCATCTGCTGCAGATCCAAAGTGGGTATCCGACAAAGTCAGTGAGACAGCCCAATATAATGGGAATTAAAAGTGAGGGCGCAGGTCACATTTAACTTTCATTTAAAAACAAAACCCCAACGTGATGGCTGAACTACACCACAGCATGTAGCTGTGGCTTAAAAAAAGGCCAACGCGGAACTGACCAAAGTCCTTTTCCTCTTAAGAACAAAGTCAGTGCTTAGGTTGGTGCCTGGAATTACGCACCTCACTCTCAGTTGCTTTCTAGTGGGCAAAAGTCCTTGCTCAAAAGTGTCAGAAATTTTCTAAGCAACCAGTACTGTGGCTCATTCTTTGAAGGCAATCCTTAAAGCATTTCTACCTCCACTTCACTATAAAAAGTTACTTAGCTATACTCCTCTGGAGTATCTCTGCAGTTTTTCTTCAGTTGAATAGGTAGAAACATTCTGGTGACTGGCTTGCTTACTACTTGGTAAGTTTTCCCAGGCAACACTGATGAAACCGTTTAGAAGCTACAGTGAAGTTGTGGTCAGGCTAAGTAATAAAACCAGGGAGGGGCCAAAGAATGACTGGTGCGCAGAACTTTAGTTTGGTCTGGAGTTGAGGCCACATTTACCCCCGCCTCATCGGCTCCACATAAAACTGTCTCGTGGACTTTAGCTGTTGGTCAATGAATGACCAAGGAGCCGTAGTTTTAGTACTGTTTCTTATGGGAAAACCTCAAACTACTTAATCTCAATCTCCCATTATGGGGTGGTCATACTGATAATCTTCAGATTTGTCCTTAGTCTTTGTTTCTAGTGTCTGCAGGGCTGTCCACAATCACCTGAACACTCATGAGCAAAGCCATCTCTACCCAAGTTCCTGACGACTGTCTATATAGAGCCCACAATACTTAGGTCTCTTGGTTGTGTCAAACAGTCTCTGTCATTAGCTTATGTCACTAGCCAACGGCATCCTCCTGCACAGATGATGGGAAGGACGGAAGTTTCATAACTTCATCTCAGTTTTTAGTGATGAAAAACAGAAAAGACACGGGCACTATGACTACGATACAGCCAACCACATCTTAGTAAGTAAGCTGTGAACTTCTCAGAACAAAATACATTTAATAATTGCCAGCTAGTGATGATTAATGCTTCTGTAAAGTTTCTGGAAAAGTGTGGAAAAAATGCTCCCTACAACTTTCCTTTTTTGTGAAAAGTAACAAAAATCACATCTTCTGAACTCCAGTATCTAAGCTACAAACAATTCAGAAAGTGCCCAAATAATCATATTGTTCAGCAGCTGACAAGAAAATTCTGGCTAAGATCTTTGCCACAGAACAATGTCAAAAAAATGACCTTAGTTGGTGTTCATATTTTTCTTCTTTAACATGACAACGGAGTTATTTCTGACATTCCATGGTATTTCCTCACCAATCTGTATTTAGAAAGTCTATGCAGGCAGCTAACCAGTGCCTCTCATTTATGTTTGGGACAAAAATAGCATTAGACCCTAGAGGTTTAGCATGCATTTTGGCTCTGAAGGTCCTCTTTAAAAGTGGGCCAGGCTCCCATATTTCAGGTACTTATGATTCACAGGCCTTCCTCATGAATGCAGAAGTCCTATTAGAAGCCAGTCACAACGAGTACATTTTATGTGTTCAGCACTATGTCCAATGCTGTGTTGGCAGGAATAGAAGTATATCCCTTGACAATCGAAGCATGTCGTTTTGGGGGGCAATAAAACTTCATACGTGAAACAATGAAGGATTAAAACAGTATACAATCAAGTGCTAATTTGTGGAGAAATGCATTCAGGAGTGCTATAGTGCTTTAGGGATTTCAAGAAGGGAGAGAAGTGTCATTGAATTGTTGTTGCCATTTCAGTAGAGTTGATCTCACTGATGAGGATAGAACCATCTACGTTTGTTGCAGTCCTTTGGAACTGTAGACTGGTGCACATACCCTCTCTTTCGGGAAGAGATAGAAATCTTTGGTTTGATACTGATTAGCACAGTCCTAGATTTCTATAGCTTTGGTAGGCTACCAGTGATCATATATATAACTTACTGTATATATAACTAGCAAGAGCAGCATGTCCCAATGCAGTTTTTGTTTTCACAGTCCTCTTTTTTTGAGAAATAGGTAAGATGTTGGCCAAGTAGGGCTTGTTTGCAGCAAGTAGTTTCTTAACCTTGGCATCATGTTCATGGAGCTAATCTTGGTCTTTCAATTATACGCTGTGATTGCTGAGAATCCAATAGTATCTTAAAGGTATCCTCATTACTGAAAAGCCTGATATTTTACTACACATGTGCTTTTATCTTGTGTGGAAATATCATGTGGATTTTCCATGACTAGCTTTTCCCTGTAGGGGCTGTGTAGATGAATTACATGCCCAGATTACACAAAGGCAGAACACTGCTGATATAACTATAAGGATCCTTAAGTGTGATTAAAAAAAAAAAAACTGTTGAAGCTATTTTTCTTTCCCTCCATGAGCACACATCTCTGAAATAATTTTAGAAAGAAAGGGGGAAATGGCTTGATGACAAATTCTTGCTTTAAACACAACTTTTCAGGAACGCACCAAATGCATCCAAGGAGGCTGGACTGTACTCAGAGGCTCTCTCTCTAGCATGGATTCTGTGGTGCAGAGTGAGGGTTGAGCTCCGAGTGAAGGCCTTGCCACATTTAGTGCACTTATAGGGCTTTTCTCGAGTGTGAATTCTCCGATGCAAAATAAGGTATGAGTTTCGGTTGAAAGCTTTTCCACATTCGCTACATTCATAGGGTTTCTCCCCCGTGTGAATTCTCTGATGCTTAGTGAGGTCTGAGCTCTGGCTGAAAGCCTTCCCACACTCATTACATTCATAAGGTTTCTCTCCAGAATGGATGCGCTGATGTAGGATAAGATTTGAACTATGACTGAAGGCTTTGCCACACTCATTACATTCATGAGGTTTCTCACCTGTGTGGATTCTCTGATGCAGGACGAGGTTTGAGTTAAGACTGAAGGCTTTCCCACACTCACTACATTCATAGGGCTTTTCTCCAGTGTGGATTATTTTATGGCGAATAAGGCTTGAACTTCTTGTGAAGCATTTACCACATTCATCACATCTGTGAGACTTTGTTCCTGTTGGAACTTCTTCGGGGGTAGTAAAGTTGGAACTCAGACTGAAGCTTCTTCCCAATCCTTTACCCTTCTCCCTTGGACCTCTCTCTCCTGCGGTGGTTTTCTTGTCCTTAACTGTAGCGGGCCCTGAATCTTTCTTCTCTTTTCCAGTTTTCTCCTCAGGGTTTTTCTGCTGCCTTTCTACTGTTTTGCCCTGCTGTTCACGTTTCTCTCCAAACTCTTTCTGGAATCTTCCTGCTGTCTTCCCATGTGATGCCGAGTCTTCGACAATTTCAGCCTTTGAGGTTGACTCCTCATTATCATTCTTGTTTTCACCTGATACAATAAATAAAAAATTCAAATAGCACTTTTTTTTTTTAATATACAGGTTAAGCAAGTGACATTAATTTCCAGGAAGCCCCTACATGCCTGCAAAGTGACTTCACAGTAGTAATCAGAGATCAACTAGGAGAAAAAAAAGAAAAAAATTGGGAAACTAGGGAGTAGAGTTGGAAAATGAGAGGGCAGGAAGACTGGAAAGAAAGGGAAGTAACAGCAAAATGAGCATGGAGAGAGGACGGGAATAAACAGACATACTAAGCCGGGCTCGGTGGCTCAGCCTGTAATCCTGCGCCTTTGGGAGGCCGAGGTGAGTGGATTGCCTGAGCCCACGGGTTTGAGACCCGCCTGGACAGCGAGACCTCATCTCTACAATAACTCAAAAAATCAGCCAGGCGTGGTAGCACATGCCTGTAATTCCGGCTACTCGGAAGGCTGAGGCGGAAGGATCGCCGGAGTCCAGCAGGTCGAGGCTGCGGTGGCCGGGAGCGGCCACTGCACTCCAGTCTGGGCGGCAGAGCGAGACTCCAACTCAAAAAAAATAAATAAATAAACAGACATACTAAGGTTGAGCAGAGGAAAAAGAACCAGTCAAGGAAGGAGGGAAGGGATAAGGAATTAAGGGATGTCAGGTCACAATTCCATTATTCGATCACCAGATAATTAATTTGATGGAACAAATACAATTTTAAAAATGTTTCGCTGGGAGTGGTGGCTCATGCCTGTAATCCCAGCACTTTGGGAGGCGAAGGCGAGAGGACTGCTTGAGCCATGGGTTCAAGACCAGCCTAGGCAATATGGCAAGACCCTGTCTCTACAATAAATCAAAAAATTAGCCAGGTGTGGTGGCACACGCCTGTAGTTCCAGCTACTTGGAAAGCTGAGGTGGAAGGATCACCTGAACCCAGCAGGTCAAGGCAGCGGTGACTGAAAGTGTGCTACTGCACTCCAGCCTGGGCAACAGAGTGAGACTCCAACTCAAAAAAAAACAACAAAATCATGTTCCATTACTAATAAATATTTATATTTGTTTAAAAAGTTAAAAAGTTTAAAAAGGACAAGTCTTTGATAAAAATGGTTAGTGGTATTAGCAGAAAGAAAGGAATGTAGTTTAAATTGAAGAAACAAATACTCCCCTAATTCTGTGAGGATTCTATCAATAAACTGATGGCTAACAAGCAAAAACAAATATCTTGTTTGGAACCCAACAGGGTACAAAGTTCTTCAGACACAGGAAATAGTTTCCCTCCTGCAGAGAGAGCAGCACAGAACTGTTAGTGCTCAGGTAACAGAGATGAGAATGAAGAAGTTGGCTGGGGCATTAATAAACATAATTAAACCCTTCACTGACTGACACTGAGAATAACTGAGAACAGACAAGAAACTGAAAGCAATGTTGGAGAGAGCCCATGAAGGTGATAATAAAAAACAAAATTTTACAAATGTAGAAGTGATGCCCTCATTTTAAGAATCAATATATTAAAGCACTGGAATGTAATGTTTATCATTCACTGCTATCTTATGTGCATATTTTGCTTTTAAGTGAAACTGAAAATTGTTTTAACAGTTGCACACTATTTTATATATGTTTATATTTGTCGAGGAGAAAAAACAAAAATAGCCTATGTCTATTCTTTACTTTCTTAGCTTCAAGACCTTTTCAAGAGGGTCTACACTGCCCCAAACAGGCTCCAGAACGCAATCACCAAGGGAAACAGTATCTAACCCCTGCCTTTAGTGATAAATCACCACAAATACTGAGACAATTGAAAAAGGAAATTGGTCTACCCTTTTGAATTCCAAGCCAAGGTCTTTGACTATCTAGACAGTTCCCATTTTTATATATATCTATTTTTTAGTTGGAGTCTCACTCTGTCACCCAGGCTTGAGTGCAGTGGCACGCTCATGGCCACCGCAGCCTCTACCTGCTGGGCTCAGGCGATCCTTCGGCCTCAGCCTTCCAAGTAGCTGAAACTAGAGGTGTGTGCTACCACGCTTGGCTTATTTTTTAATTTACTGTAGAGATAAGGTCTCACCAAGTTGCCCAGGCTGGTCTTGAACCTGCGGGCTCAGGCAATCCTCTCGCCTTGGCCTCCCAAAGTGCTAGGATTATAGGCTTCAGCCACTGTACCGGGCCTGCATTTTTATTTTTATATTTATTTTTTGTTATCAGAATAGGTAATACTCAGCTCATCAACATGGATGAGTTCTTTGGCTTAATATTCATCTAGTACAAAGAGCAAGTACCAAGAGAAATTAAAAACCCTATTTACACCTATGATTAAAAAAAGAAAACCTGAAGTTTCTTTAGTGACAATCCTTTATTTACGTTCATCCTTCATTCACACTCCCTTTGCCCTCCCTAGGGAGAAGTCTCACTGTAGACCTCTCTGTCACTGTACTTATGTGAGGGCTCCTTTGTGGCACTGTCTCCTTGGGGCTAAGATCTAGCAGAGACAGATGTCAATGTCTGCCCACTGTGTCACCTTTGTATCATCTGGCTGATGTCTCGTGAGCGTCTGGTTCTTACGCAACCCCAGAACCCAAGTGCTTCACAGAAGGTCACCGTTAGGTCGGGAAACTGGGAGTCCTGATCATAAGGGAGGTTCAGTGCCAGTTCAGAAAGCAGAGCTCACACAGGACAGACGAGGACAGAAAGCCATGGAAGGATGCTTGGTAGTTCCAGGAACACAGAGCCGGGACAGTAAGTTGGGATTCGACGATGATCAGTTCACCTGGCCAGGTCTGCTGAGAAGCAGACATTCCCCTGACAGAGGCACCTAAACTGCCATCCACAGGAAGAAAACAGAATCCTCCCAGGGACCTGGGTGGACGAAGAAGTGAGGCCTCTGAGCATACTTATTTCTGATTTCAAAGAGCAAAACCTACTCAGAGACAAAAACCCACCTGGAATTGGGGTCACAGTACCATGCTTTCGGAGTTAAATGAACATAAACGTTCTTGCTCTCTATCTGAAGAAAGGGGTAGTCTCTACATTCTTGTTAACACTCAGGTGAGATCCCATAACATAAAGAGGCAAAACAATCTTATCAGACAATAAGCCTGCATCAGTCTTACCCTGGGAAAACACGTTCCCATAGTTCTCCTGCCTGTTGTCCCTACTGAGATTCCTCCGAGCCAGGTTCTGACATCCCCATTCCTCCAGGATGAGGGACACGGCCATGTCCTCGATCTTCACCATTGCCTGAAATAACAGGAGACCCCCACACTCAGTCTCCCCCAAACTTAGGGAAAATCCCATTGCCCAAGCCTGGAGTCAGGGACAGAGGTGACTGCAAGGCTACAGGACGCTGACAAAGAAAAGGTTACCAGAGCCTCTGGAGCTGGGGGTAGGAAGGAAGTTTGTGGAAGACAATGCATGGAGGGGAGGGAGGTAGAGCTTTCCTTTTCTGTGAGCAGGGACATTCAGAGTGAGGAGAGCACTAAGAAAGCTCAGGGGCAAAGGCAGACACAAGAGACTCCGGAGGGCAGAGGGGCCTGCAGCTTACCTGGGAATCTGCTGTGAACAGCGCAGATGCCACCGCCTGGTCTCTGGGACTCCCCTCGTGAAGAGGAGCAGGAACGTGGGTGGCAGGGAGAGCTGAGGGAGAGAAAGGAGCAGTGAGTAAATTGGCTCTGCTCTGAGCCTCCTCAAAGAAGGGCTCAGGGCACTCTTCCTGTCCCAGCATGCTCACTGTTCAACATTTAACTACCAAATGAGAACCCCAGACAAATAAATGAGAGAAAGCAGGGCCTCGGTTTTCCCAAGACCTCTAGTCTTAAGCAGGAGTCACAAGGAATCATAGAAGTAGCTTAAAATCACCTGGTCCAACCATCTAACCTTGTTTTATCTTTATTTTTTGAATCAGAGTCTCACTCTGTCGTCCAGGTTGGAGTGCAGTCACACACTCATGGCTGTTGCAGCCTTGACCGTCTAGGCTCAGGCAATCCTTCTGCCTCAGCCTTCCAAGTAGTTGGAACTGTAGGCACCTACCACCCACTGGTTAAGGAACAATCTTCTTAAAGAACTGAACAGTCACGTGCTACATAATGACATTTCAGTCAACAATGGAGGCCCCCTAAGAGGATAATGGAGCTGAAATTACCTATTGCCTAGTATTGCTGTAGCTGTCATAACATTGTAGATCAACACACTATTCACATTTGTCGTGATGCTGGTGTAAACAAACCCACTGAACTGCCAGTGGTATAAAAGTCTAGCACATACAATTATGCACAGTACATACTTGATAATGATAATAAATGACGATGTTATTGGTTTAGGTATTTACTATGCTATACTTTCTATCATTATCTTAAAGTGCTTCTTCTACTTGTAAAAAAAAAAAAAACTGGCTGGGCTCGGTGGCTCAGCCTATAATCCCAGCACTTTGGGAGGCCGACGTGAGTGGATTGCCTGACCCCACAGGTTTGAGATCAGTCTGGGCAACTTGGTGAGACCTCGTCGCTACAATAAATAAAAAATTAGCCAGGTATGGTAGTGCACAACTGTAGTTCCAGCTACTTGGAAGACAGAGGAGGAAGGATCGCCAGAGCCCAGCAGGTCGATGCTGGGGTGGCTGTGAGTGTGCCACCGCACTCCAGCTGCCTGAGAGATAGAGTGAGACTCCAACTCAAAACAAAACACAACAAAAAGTTAATGGCAAAAACAGCCTCAGGCAGGTCCTTCCAAGGTATTCCAGGAAGAGGCATTGTTGTCATAGGTGATTTCAGCCCCAAGAGTGTTACTGCTCTTGAAGACCTTCCAGGAGGACAGAATGTAGAGGTGGAAGACAGTGATATTGATGATCCCTGACCCTGTATAGGCCTAGGCTAATGTGGGTATTTGTGTCTTACTTTCCAACAAAAAAGTTTTTAAAAAAGTATAAAATCGTGGCCAGATGCAGTGGCTCACACTTACAATCCCAGCACTTTGGGAGGCAGAGGCAGGAGGATTGCTTGAGGCCAGGAGTTAGAGACCAGTCTGGGCAACCCAGTGAGACCTCATCTCTATGAAAAATGAAAAACTTTGTCAGGTATAGTGGCATGTGTCTGAAGTCACAGCTACTGTAGAGAGAAAATGCCCATCACTTGAGCTCAGGAGTTGGAGGCTGCGGTGAGCCACTGGACTCCAGCCTGGGCAACAGAGTTAAGACCCTGTCACCAAAAAGTAAAAATAAAAGTACAAAATCTTTTTAAGAAGAAAAAAAATCTTACAGATTTTTTTGGTACAGTTGTACAACGTGTTTGTGCTGTAAGTTGTATTATTACAAGAGTCAAAAAATTAAATCAATAAGTTCATAAAGTAAAAACTTCACAGTTAAGGTTAATTTATTACTGAAGAAAAATTTTAAAAATACATTTAGTGTAGCTTACAGGTATCATGTTTATAAAGTCTAGGTAGTGCACAGTGATGTTCTAGGCTTCGCCTTCACATTCACTTACCACTCCCCAGGGCAGCTTCCAGTCCTGCAAGCCCCATTCAGGGTAAGTGCCCTAGACATGTGTATCTTTATTTATTTATTTATTCATTTATTTTTGAGTCAGAGTCTCACTCTGTCACCCGGACTGGAGTGCAGTGGCCGCTCCCGGCCACCGCAGCCTCGACCTGCTGGG